CAAGAGAGGGTTCTTCAATCTTGAGCAACAAAGAATTCAGCGAATTCAGCATGAGTCCGCAAAGTAAAGTAAAAGCAAGTTTATTAAGAAAGTAAAGGAATCAGAGCAGCCCCAAGAGCTGCTGTTTACTCATTTTTTACTACTATTTCTTGATGATATACTAAACAAGGGAGTGGATTATTCATGCCTTCTCTTTTTAGATGATATAGGGTAACTTCCTGACATTGCCATGGCATTTGTAAACTGTCATGGTGCTATGAGAGTGTAGCGGTGCAGACGACCAGAGGACACTCTCATTGCCATCTCAGTTTTGGTGGATTTTAGCTGGCTTCTTTATTGCAACCTCTTTTATCAGCAAGATCTGTATGTCCTGTATCTTGTGCTGACCTTCTATCTCATTCTGTGATATAAGATGCCTTGACTGTTTGGGAATGCAGGCCGGTAGGTTTCAGCCTCATTTTACCCAGCTCCGATTCAACATGAAGTTGTTTTGGTTCACATGCCTCTGACACCTTTATTATATGCCAGTCATTGTTTAAGTACTTTACGTATATTACATCGTTTAATTTCTCATTAATTCTATAATTTTCAAGTTTATGTAACTGAAGCAAAAAAAGTTCAGCAAGTTAATGGAAAAGGTTTGAAGCAGGATATCTCAATAAACAATGAAGTCATAAAATTCTGGAAAATGTACACAGAATGCACAAATTTACATAGCATGTAAATTTCATATAACACTGTTAGAGATTCCCTGAAGCCTCTTAAGGGGTCAAATGTTAAGTACAGAGTTACAGAAGACTATTTCCCAAAGATTTCTCTCATTTTTGCTTCATATCAAACATTAGTAGAGCCGATGCATGATTTAAAGGATAAAACTCTATGTTATTGCATGCCAGGAATAAGTTTTCAGTGAGGACCTAGCATGTGTCAGACACTAAGCTGTTATAGGCATTATCGGCTGTGAATAAAACAGACATGCTAATAAATAATATATTGCATATTATAGAACTTTCAAGACCGCTCCACATGTTAATGATAGAGTGAGAATTTGAACTAAGATATGTTTGATCCAATGTGTCTTGTTCTACTGTGCAGCACTTAAGATCACAACCATTCCTTGAATTAATAATTACATTAAAATGCCCATTACAGCATAAGTGGCCCCATATCAACACCTATCTCTAAGTGTAGATATAAAGTTGTGTTTACTCTGATAAGAGTAACTTAGATGCTTTTGATAGGTAAAATGTTGAGAAAATTTTTAAGGACACTCTTTATTCCTTCTAAAAGAGAGAAATTCTGTACCAGTAATAAGGTTTAATATATCTAATTATAACTATAGGCAAGAGTCCAGCAAAACCTGGCCTGATTCCTTCAGCACCCTCACCACTTCCCACACAATCCTTCACCCTTTTCAACTGCTTCAAACATAATTCTAAAATGTAGCTCCTAACCTATACCACTGTTTTTTACACTAATTTATAGTGGTTAATAATGCTTCTAATAGTTCATAATTAAACATGGGAAAAGAAAGAAAGAGTTGAATACTACTTTGTCAAACTTTAAATTGTTTTGAATTTAAAAACTGTTTTGCATTTATTTTCTCATTTTGTTTTGTTGAATTAGTTTTACTTTTAAAGTATCCATTAATTAGGAAATACCCTTAAATTTTACATTAAATCTCTTGACTCTGTAATTCTTTGATTCATTATATAATATGAGCTATTCATAGCATATTGAACTTAATTATACTGCACTGTACTATCCTTAAAAATTCTCAAATTTAGAATGTATGACATTGACTTACAGAAAACACAGATCCTATTGTAGTTTAGAAACTCTAAAATAGCCAATCACCTTCTCAGGTTTCACAGTACACTGAGATCACATTTTATATATTACAACCAGGAGCAATGTAATGCGTTTGATATTTATTTTTCAAATATTAGTGCATATTTCTTTGTCTTCCAGAAAAGTCATTTATTTTTATTTTCTTTTATTTTCACAGTAGTATTTACTTTGGATTTGATATTTTTAAAAATAATGTTTGCTTAAGGAATTCCAATTAGCTTTTTCAGGGGATGAACTGGGCCAATATGAGTTTCTTGCATGTTGTGCTATTTCATTTAAAATCCATTAGAGCTCCATTAATATATTTACAATTATTTTTCATGGAAATAAATAAGTATTTTCAATTGCTTTGTAGTGTAGTAATGATTGTTAATAAGTGACACAATGTATACTTTGTGAGCAGTCCTTTATTTTGATAAATAATAAAACCTACAATTATAGTAGTTAACATGTATTTTTCAATTACTGCTTTCATGACTTAGGATAGGCATTACCAAGAAAACAACTGCCTGAAATAGAAAAAATAATATTTGGTTTCATCATAAAGAGTGTAGTATTGAGCTCAGAAGTGCCTTTGTTTTATATTGTCTTCTCAATACAAGCCAAATTATGACATTACAAAATAAATTCGATTGGATACTGTTTATCCTCATGTGTGGGTAGCAGAGAGGTTTTATTAAGAAAACATCACCATTTTCCTAGACTTTTGCTGATTTAATAACCAAATGAAACTGCTACATCAGACCCAGCACAGCGGCTCACACTTGTAATCTCAGCATTTTGGGAGACCAAGGTGGGTGGATCACCTTAGGTCAGGAATTCAAGACCAGCATGGCCAACGTGGCGAAACCCCATCTCTACTAAAAATACGAAAATTAGTCAGGCATAGTGGTGCATCACTGTAATCCCAGCTACTCGGGAGGCTGAGGCATGAAAATTGCTCAAACCAGGGAGGTGGAGGTTGCAGTGAGTCAAAATTGTGCCACTGCACTCCAGTCTGGGTGACAGAGTGAGACTCTCTCAAAAAAAAAAAGAAAAAAAAGAAAAATGAAACTGCTATATTACAAAAATTATACAACACATAAAATGCTTTGCCACTATAATTTTGATGTCTCAATGAATTAGTCTGCCATCCATATCTCATATAGTAACATTATATTTCACTAATATTCTAGTTACATATTGGTAGAGTATATTTTACTGTAAGTAAATGTGATCATAAAAATTTATTATGTTAGGTGATTGAGACATCCAAGGGTTTTTTCCATGGTTAGTCCTCTAATAGGGATTAATTGACTGGCACTTTTGACTTTCTATAGGGTTAATGATGACCAATGACTAAAACATTAATAAATCATAATAAGTTTTTACAGATATGATGCAGTAATATGAATACTGTCTGTGACTTCATCTTTTATAATTTGAGAACTGACAAATTCAACACTTGGCAATATAACCCTCTGGTTCAAATGTTGTTGGGATGGTAAATTTTTGCCATCAGTGCTCTTTCCATTTGCACATAATTAATTAGTAATAAGTGTGGAGATTGTATTATGACCTAGTTATATATCTCTGTGGATATCTGTGTATTGAGATAAAATGATACTAGATAGAATGCATAAAACTAATTTCCAATGCCATTTAAATTGTGCTTTTCCATTTATAACTGTACTTGTTGGTGAGATGTATCTCATTAGAATTTTTTTAAACTGTTGTTACTGAATATGCTTGAAATATTATGCATCATATTGATATTTTGAACATGTAGCTCAATATCTTTATATGTGAAATGTCACCTCTGGTGAGATTATTATTCATCTAAACAGTTATCAAAAGCTATTTGGATCTTTAGGAAAAGCTTTTTTTTTTTTTTTGCTTGCTCTTGTCAGCTTTAATGCATATTAAGTTTATTACAAGTCTCTAAATCACATACCTTAAATAAAATTATATATTTTTGATATATGTTCCTTTCACCTAGACAAACTGACTAAATTTATGAACGCAGGTGGAATCCTTCCTCATTATTTGTGGAACATTCCTGTTAAATTTGTGTGATGACTTGTGGGCATATAAGAAGAAAATCAAGGCATTTGTCATTGGAAAGATTAATGTTATTAAAAAATTTTCAAGTAGCATTTTGTAAAAAGGTTGTTAGAGATGGGACTGCTTATATGTATATATTTTATAATTTATGTATGTAAATTAATAAAGTGCTGTGATTTCATTTAAAGATGATTTCACTGAAGTTCATCCTATGGAGAGGTAGGCTATGCCAAAGTCTTAAGTAAGAGTGACTACACTAATGAAAATAAATATAATTAATTATTTATCAGCTAATGCCTCTACTTTCAGGTGCGGAAGACCCGATGTGATGTATAAACTATATTTATTTTACTAAATACCTATTCCTGTGTCAGGAGCGTGCTCTGTTTCTTTTCTTTATACTCATCTAAAAATGTTTCAAAAATTCCATCCTGTGATTGCTGCATAATTCCATCACTTGCAGTACTTAATATTCTACAAGATATCCCAATTTCTTGAGTCACCTTATAAAAGGTGTGCTGAGGGAAATATTTTTATTGTTTTGAAAATAGGATCTTACTAAATTTCAACCGAAACAGCTACTAAGAAAAAAATAAGAAATGATGCTGCAATGAAAGTTAACAGTTAACAATAATTACTAACCAACAGATCATCAGCATATTTATTTTTTTAATGGTTCACTCAATTTTAGCACTCATTCATTTGTTCATTTGCTTCAAAAATAGTTAAGTGTCTACAGGTGCAAGTTGTTCTCTTTGTTGCTGGGGATATAGAGGAAAGAAGTCTCTGCTCTCCTAGAATTTAGTCTTTTAGGACTCTGGATATTAAAACAAATATAACTCAGTAAAATATTTAGTTACAATTATCATTTGTGTCACAAATTGGAAATTTAGAGTTCTGTGAAACATACAAAAGGGAAACTTACTAGATCTATAAGACAAGCTGAGAAAGTCTTCTCTGAAGAGGTAACGTTTAAGATTTGATGAATAATAGTTATTCAGGCAAAAAGAACAAGGGGATGGATGATTCAGGGAGATGAAACATAAATAGAAGGCTTGGACTTTCTACTTCCACATAGCAAAATAAGCATAGCATCTTTTTTTTTTTTTTTAAGATGTACTTTTTTTTTTTTTAAAGTTATTCTCAAAGTTTCACCTACATATAAGCAACCCATAAAACAGGGTGTGATAAAATCAGTGGTGGAAGAGCCGAAGGTTCGTATGAGCGAGGATGATTCCCAGTTCATCGCAGGCCTCAATCACAACTTTGCCAGCAGCAGAGCTGGGGGGAGCCGCGATGTACGCCACACCACTCCTATTAGCTCTGCCTACATTATCTCTGAAAGGGAAGAAGGCATCAGAGCTGACAGAAACTTCACTCAGTTTGTCAACCCATTCCTTCTTCTCTGCCTCAGTGAGTAATTCTGGGACTTCCTCAAACAGGGCCTTCCACTTTGTCAAGTCTTCATCCTCACCAATGGTTCCAGTCACGTATTGATCGATAGCATTGGAGATTTCTGCTCTCTTCACTCCCATTTTAAACTTCATCGAGAGCACTTGTGGATGGTGTCTAAGCCACCGGTAGTTTGCCTTATCTCCTGCAAGGTGGGTGCAGTGTATACAAGACTGCTGTCCAGCTCCAATGCCCATAACCTGCCAGTTCTTGGCATAGCCCACGGAGTTGGACTGAGTGTACTTGACAGCAATGGTGGCTATGCCGAGGCCTCGGAGGGCAGACTCTGGCAGACCTTTATTCTTGGTGACAACATTGCTAAATAATGACTTGTCGACGACACCATTATTTCTCTTCTGGCTTAAATGAAGACCGAAGAGAGTTCGAACTTCATTTTCTTCTGGTTTGTAAGACTGGTCCATCTGAAGAACACAGTAGGTTCCATTTTTCTTTTTGGAAAGTATTGTCAAGGCTTCTTCTTCATATCCTGGGGCAATTATACCATCAGAGACTTCTCTGGAAATAATTTTTGCAGTTGGTACATCACAAACGTCAGACAATGCCACAAAATCGCCAAATGACAACATCCTATCAGCCTCTCTTGCTCTTGCGTATGCCGTTGAAATGGGTGTAAGGGTTTTATAGAGATCAAAGACCATGCAGACTCTGGCCTCATCTTCGCTGAGTGGAGTTCCAACAATGGCGCCTGCTGGGCTGACATGTTTGAAAGATGCAGCGGCTGGAATACCTAACACCTCCTTGAGTTCCTTCACCAGCTGCTGCCAGGCGTTCAAAACATCGCACAGGTTTATAAATCCAGGGGCTCCATTTAGAACTGTGATGGGAAGCTTGGGCTTCAGTGTGTACAGCTGGGCAGGGGTCTGATGAGGGTCCATTCCATACCGCAAGCGCATCTGAGATATGCCTTTGCTGTACTGTTTCCTGAAATAATCTGAAATTGCTTCATCGTATCGTGCCGTATGACTGAATGCCTTCAAGGCTAACTGGCGTCTAGTCTCCAAGGAGGTGCCCTTGCTCTCGAAGCTCTGCATCTCTGTGGACACTGCCACATAGTCCTCAGGTTCACACACCACTGTCACTCGAGCGTGGTTTTTGGCTGCAGCTCTCAGTAAGGTTACCCCGCCAATGTCAATTTGCTCCACAGCCTCCTCAACAGTCACACCTGGAGAAGCCACTGTCTTCACAAAGGGATAGAGATTGCAGGCAACAACTCTTATAAGATTGAAATCAAGCCTGGCCATGTCAGCATTATCTTCTGGGATATTGCGAGCCAGGATTCCAGCATGGACTGCAGGATGCAAAGTTTTCACACGTCCCCCCAACATTTCAGGAAATCCTGTCAACTCAGAGACATCTCTGACTGCCAGACCAGCTTCCCTGAGAGCTTTTGCAATCCCTCCGGAAGTGACCAGATTCAAACCAAGAGAGGTCAGGTTTCTTGCAAATTCCACAAGGTCGGTTTTATCAGAGACACTGAACAAGGTGAGCTGGCCGGGAGCCATGATGGCAGGCGCTCGGTCCGGGGCTAGCGGGAAGCAGCACGGGTGACACCACGTGTGCAGGGAGGAGGCCATAGCATCTTAAAAGTTCAACAATAACTACTAGTATATGAATTGCTTTAACTTCAACACAAGAAGATTTTGTAATAGCTGTACATACAACACGAAGAAAGCCATAATGCCATATAATTTATTCATCTTTGAAATCACTGGAGTCAAAGAATATCTTCAAAGAAACATATTTCCCATGCAAACATATATTCAGTTGTGGGACAATACATATGTATTACTCAATGCTCAAAATTTAGAACTCCTTTGCAAGTTCCAAGATGTATGACTCATATATACATCTACTATGAAAAAAATTACATTCTGCTCCATGGAATGTCATTTAAGATAGAGTAGAATGAATAAACACGTGTAAGCAAATTGGAAAATGCAGGTTCTAGTTTCAGTTTCACCAGCCAAAGTTTTTGTTTCTTTTTGCAGTATAGGTAACCTTATTTCCTGATAGGGGCATTGTGAGATTAAAATGTGTAATGTTTGTTTTGAAGTTTGAAAATTGGTATAAACTATACACATGGAATATTTTATCATTTTTCCCTTGAAAATTCTATACATATTTGGGTTTTTCCTATCTTTGATCAAATGCCTTCCCTTTATTGGAAAGTTCAACATGTACTCTTCTTTTTTCCCCCTAAAGTTTCAATTAAAATCCCATTACTTTTTTGAGGCTTTTTTCTACCATAGAAGTTACTTTTTTCTCCCATCTCTAACCTCTCTCAGCACTTACAAATTATTTGGTGACTGGCATTTATTGACTTGCATGCTTATTTTAATGTGCGTTTCAAAAGCATAGTATTTTGATGTTGAAAGGGAAATTAAAGTTCACTTGGTCCACCAGATTTCAGAGGTCAGGCTTTCCTTTGAGTCATTTCAACCCTCTTGTCAAATAAATTTTGCTTGAACAGCTCCTCTGACAGATAGCTTGGTATCCTTTGATTAAGTATATATTGCTTCTTGACATCTCTATGAGAAAGTTATTTTTTTTTTTAAATTAAGACTAAATATGTCAAACGGCTTTTATACCTGCCAACTATTTCCTGATCATCTCTATCCTGATCACCTTTCTTTTCAGGGCAAAGCAAGCTTTCAGGTATTTTAGTTATACTGGTTATTCTTGCCTAAAAATATTCCAAGAGAATCTCCCTCCCTCTCTCTCTCTTTCTCACTCTGTGTTTATGTGTGTGTTTGTGTGTGTATTATACAGTATTCATAACTAAATGTATTATTTAACTATAATATAATTCTCTTTTGTTTTAAATATTGTAATTCTAGCATTGCAGACTCAAACTTCATTACATTTTTGATGATCATACCAAGTTTATCTTACTTTATATTGAATCCACATGTCTTAGTCTCAGGTGATTCTGCTAAATCATATATACCCATCATAGATTACTGCAATATCTGTTTTGGATATAATTTCCCAGATGCTAAGTTATGTTCTGTTACTTCTGATGGTAGATAGTAGATTGTAAGCCAGTAAACCATAAAAAATATATATTTTCTTTTCTTAAACATACTTCAAGCTGCTTACAATGAGAAGCCATTTGCTTTTTCATCTAAATTCCATTACATAATGAACTTCAAAGCGAATCGATGCCCATTAAACACCTAGGAAAGATATGATGATGATTGGTTTATATGTATTTTTTGTTCATATGTATGTGTGTATAACTGAATTTGCATATCCATTGTGAAAATAAATAGAATCGTTGTCCAAATGATGACCTGCTCAAGATTTTATTTACATATATGTGAAGGTACAGTTGACATACTCATAATATTGAGAAATAATAATACATGCCCTTTATTCTATAAGAATTATATAAACATGAAATTCCTTAATTTTTCTTTCTATAAATGGCAAGGAACACATGCTTTTGAGTCACTAGCAGGGACTAAAAGATTTTATCATATTGTGAAATACTTGATGTTTTTTGTTTCCAGTACAATAGTACATCTTAATCTTAATGTAGTATAGTTAACTGAGTACGTTTGACACATTTTCCTCTTTCTAATGTTGTGCTTAGTTTTCTCATGATATACAACCATGGGACCTACGTTATTTATCATGTGTTTCTGTCAGTGCTTCATTTTTGACCTTTCCTTCTTCAAAAGTTTCAAAGAGGTTCTAAAAGGTACTACTCCTTTATGCTATATGAACTTGAACCAATCTAGTGCATTTCTTCTCTACTAGTACATGACTTTCTCCTTTTATCTTATCTTAGAGGTTTAGTTAAAATGCTATAATTAAACAAAAATGTTTTTGTATGCTGGCATGTTCCTCAAGTGCTGTATCATGTTCAGAACACAAAGATTAAGTCATATTTTAATAAACAATACAATCTTCTGCACTTTAAGAAAAATCTTCAAAAAGCACACCAACTATTGTAGTCAGCAGTGTCACAGAGAACAAAATCTGTTCTACTTTAAAGACAAAGAGACTTATCACAGGCAATTAGTCACAAAGCCACACCCTAGAATTTCACCATCAAGGAAACTGCTGCCTCAGCCAACCATGATTAGGCAAGATATGGAATCAGAAGACTAACTATAGAATCGGGAAATTTCAACTATATTTGTTAGTCCAGAATTACACACCAATATTACAGTCTCCAGTAGCAGAATGAACCCTTTCCTGCTTTTATTCCGTCAAGTTCCAAATTGAAGCCTTGCTTCCAAAACCATCATTATAAGGGAAACTATACATTGTGTTAAAAATAATCTTGGATGGGCACAGTGGCTCATGCCTGTAATCCAGCACTTTGGGAGGCCAAGGAGGGCTGATCACTTGAGGTCAGGAGTTCAAGACCAGCTTGGCCAATATGGTAAAACCCTATCTCTATTACAAAATACAAAAATTAGTGGTCAGGCACAGTGGCTCAGTCCTGTATTCCCAGCAGTTTGGGAGGCCGAGGGGGTTGGATCACTTGAGGCCAGAGGCTCAAGACCAGCCCAGCCAACATGGTGAAACCCCATATCTACCAAAAACTACAAAAATAGCTGTGTCTATAATCCTAGCTACTCAGGAGGCTGAGGCAGGAGAATCGCTTGAACCCAGGAGGCTGAGGTTGCAGTGAGCTGAGATCGCCCTACTGCACTCCAACCTGGGCAACAGAGTGAGACTCTGTCTAAAAAAAAAAGAAAATATAAAACTTAGCCAGGCATGGTGGCACACATCTGTAATCTCAACTACTCTGGAGGCTGAGACAGGAGAATCTCTTGAACCCAAAAGGTGGAGGTTGCAGTGAGCTGAGATTGTGCCACTGCACTCCAGCCTGGGCAACAGAGCGATACTGTCTCAAAAAAAAGCAAGACGGTTTACATCATACATCACATCAAGCATTTATCTTCAAATTTTCATGTTGACTGATATTGAAAAAATCGTGTATATTAAGAAACATTTGTCATAATTTGAGCCTAGATTATTAAAAATTATATGTTCACAACTTCTAAATCTAACTTACTTCCAAGTTTTTCTCTCTTTTAGTGGGAGAGGAAGTGACCTCTCTGAGGGGAGCAACATTCTAGATAGAAAGAAAAACAAGGGAAATAATTTTGTCTATATTTGTAGGGAAAAAAAGATGAAGAAGAGAAGAAAAGGAGTAAAAAAATAGCACATGTAAGCCAATGGCACAGGAGAAGAGTAAATAAGTAGGAAATTTGAAGAAAGTGAAATCAAAGAAGTTACAGAAGCATAGATTAAAATGATCTCGTTATCAAAAGGAATTTGTCTTTAATTCAGATAGGAAGCCCTTAGGGTTTTGAGCAAAGAAGGGATGAACTCACTTGACTTCTATGTTGAGAATAGACTGCAGGGAATAAATCATGGGTATAATAAGGCAACTAGTTATACTAGTAATATGGGAAAGCAATGATAGTGAAATGGATCAGGTTGCTATAAATGGAGGTAGGTTTTAGAGGTAGTGATGAGTGTTCAATGTACATTTTTATGGCATTTTACATTTTTAGAATTAGAAGTAGTAGACATTTCAAATTGTTTTGAAAATTAGAAATAGATTTAACATGTTGGGCATTTAGTTAACACAATTTAGCATTCTTTAATGATCAGAAGATATGTTGTCAGTTCATGTGTATGAAACAAAATTTCACTCAAAATTACAAATATATTGTTGGTCAGGTATAGAGGAAATATAATTTCCAACTTTTGAAATATCTTGGCTGAATTAAGCAATCTAGACCGTTTTAAAGAACAAGATAAATCTTCAATGTCTCAAATGAAAGACTTTGCTGTCAAAAAGACAATCTGCATCAATATCAGGAATGTGTATATGGATCTCCAAAATTTTGGTGATACTAGAGAAAGCTTTCCAAGGATTGTTTACTTCCAAATGGCGCTGTACAACTGAGTGACCCCAACCAATAGAGCCTATTTTATTGATGGCTGACAGCTAAGATTTTGCATTTAATTATCTTATTTTGCAAGTCACTTTCATAAAATGCTGAGAGTGATTTACAAAGCCTTTATGATTTGGAGGAGGAAAAATCAGTTAGAACACATATACATCTCCCTAAATAACAAGATTATTTAAATCTTCTACCATGCAGAAACTATAGGTTTCTAAGGGGTGTGAAATGCATCTTGATCTAATTACTAAAGTGTAAAACTAATTAAAAATAGAAAAAATAAATATCCTTGCCACATAAACCACATTTTATTTAAACTTGGCACAGTTAAAAATGGGATCAAGCACAAAGAATTTCCAGTATGCTAGATGCTAAGAGAGCCAGTTATTGATAATCAGCGGTAATGTGAGGTAGAAATTCTATTAGTGAGTAAGGCAGGTATAGCCTAGGATAATCCTGCTAACTAAAGCGTAACATACTGCATGTCTCCTAAAAAAGAAGGATGCAAAGATCACATAGCTTTGTGAAGAGCTGCTCACTAACTGGAGGCAACTGCAAGTCAGTGGTAGAAATGAAGAAGTGTGGAAGGAGCCAATTAACAAGAGGCAGTTGAAGTTTGCAAGGGCAAATCTG